AGCATCCACCTTTGGAAGCAAAATACTCTTTCCCAGTTATATTTTTAACTTAATTCAAACTGAAGAAAAATGTCTTGTGCTGTAATTTCAGGAAAGTTTAAGGGGTAAAACATCTTCTCAGCTTTTTGCTCCTTCCTTGCTGCCAAAGATGGCGATTCCATAATTGGTTCAACCAACATTTTCCTGTGAAAGCTTCTGAGATAATTTGTTGTGGGTTTTGTTTGTTTGTTTGTTTGTTTGTTTTACAGGACCTTATTGAAATGCAGCAGGTTTTAGAAGTAGGAGGCCACACTGTAAGACTGGTTGCAATGGTGTTTGCCAAGCCATGGCTGCTGCATTCAGTGTGTCTGAAGGACAGACCAGAAGATGCTGATCAGCAAGGGGCAGACAGTGCCCTCCCAGATGTGCCCCAGGAGTGCCCAGCAGAGCCAGGGCAGGGAGAGAAGTGCCTGGGAGAGGAGGAGCAGCTGGGAAAAGACACACAGCCTGTCAGTGATGAAGAACCCCCAAGGAAGAGATGTAAGACTGAAGATGATGTCCTTGAGGAGGACACTCAGCTCTGCCAGGGGTCACAGGGTGGCCTGGGGAGTGCAAAGGGGAGTGACTTTGATGCAGGTGCCACTGATCCTGTCACAGCAAAGGAAGCTGTAACTGGGGGTGGAGAAGCAGGTTCCCTGGGAGTGCAGGCAGAACACCCAGCTGAACTCCCAGAGCCTGCTCCAGAGGCTGTGGACGTGGACACTCACAAGGAACAAGATCAGCCTTGTTCTGAGGACAAAGAATTTGAAGTGGAGAACGATGAGCTCAGCACTGAGCACAACAAAGAGATCCCCAAGCCTGAACAATCAACCAGTGAGCAGGATGATGACCTTTCCTTCTTGCAGGAGAACCCAGGAGCCTCCAAAGGTATGTAGGAGCACTCTGCATCCAAGGTGTAGAGACTAGCTCACCAGCAGCTGATCCCAAATGGATAGTGCTATTTTATAAGCAAATCCTAGATTCTTTATGAAGCTATACCAGGGAGAGGTTGTCCTTTCTCACAGACAAATTGGCATAACACTAATTTCTGGAGGGTCTTGGAGGTTTCAAATACATCAGAGATTCCTTCAAAGAATCCTTCCTGTTCCTTTTGCTGAAACATTCACAACTACTCAAAAAATACATTTTCCTCACAAACTTGTTTCCATGTCTTGCTCTTCTTCAAAAATGTGTTTGGATCTGAAGTTTCTCATGTCTGGCTTCAGTCCAAAGGCCAGACATCTCTAAGCCTGGAAAGCACAGCACTCCTGGTGTGCCTATAGCTGGAATGTCCATGGCTGAAAGTCCTGAAATCCTTAAACCAGGAAGCAGCACACGCCAGGGAGATTAACAGCCTCGTTTGTAACCCAATTGGACTCCATTTTCATTTCCTTTTTACTGCCAGTTTTCTTTTCTAATAGCCAGTAGTTCTTGCCAAGCTTTACATTAAGTAGTTTGTGGGGGATTTTATTTTGGTTTTGTTTCTATGGGCTCTGATTTCAGGCTGAATCACTGCCTGACTGCTCGTGTGGGATCCTGCCAAGCTCTGCCAGTACCCACGTTCAGAGGCAGCTGTGAATCAGTGCAGGCTGATCCCTGACATCTTAGAGCTTGGAATTGTTTAACTGGAGCCTTCCTGCAGGAAATAGATACTGTCTAAACAGCAGAGACCTCAGCAGTTCTTTAATGAAACTACCAAAGTATTCTTCTGGATTTAACTTCCTTCACTACTCTGTAGCACAGGAGAGAAAAAGCAGTAGTTCTGTTGTCAAATATAGAGTTCTTACTGGCCAGTGAAGGGTTTACATGTGCTTGAGGCAAAGCTGTTCCCCTCTGGGTGTGGTAGGAATACCTCTGTTAAGTAATTGTCTAATTAAAGCCCATGACATAATGTAATGGGAGTAGCAGAGACAACCTTTGCTTTGAAACTGAGCCCTGCTGGAATCCTGAGTTTGCATCCTCATGTCTGCAGCTACTTGGGCTCCTGCTGAGCTTCCATGTGATTCCCAGGAGTTTGGGTTAACCAGACCCACGGGGGAGCTCTCAGGCTGAGACCCTGCACAGCTCCCTGTGACACTCAGCTCTCTCAGCCCAGACGGTCACCTGGGCCCAGCCATGTCACCAGCCTTGTAGGAATAAAGCTTCTTGCTGGGATTTGGGAAGGGAACCACAAAAGGTGTGCTTGAGTAGAGAGATGTGGCTGTGGGAGGAGGGTGCTGGGGGCAGGTCAGGGCAGTCAGGGGCAGCTCAGAGCTCCCCACAACTGAGCATAGTTTGCTCAGGTGGTTTCCTAACAAGCTGTTGCACTTTACAGCTTGGCCACCTTTTACTCTTTTTTCCACTAGATAAGGAGTTGGAGTTAATTAGGAAATATGTGTCCTTTTCTTTCCAGGCAGCTCCATGACAGATGCCTCCCAGGCAGCCAGGGACCGGTGAGTAACAGAGCTGTCTGCAGAATAACTAAACACTTGGCACTCCCAAAATAATACTGGAAGCAGCTGATTTGGAAACCTTAGTTTTGTGCTCTGGTGGGCAGTGAGAATTGATGATGGAGAAACCCCAGGTCTTCCTCCCTTGTTCATGTTACTCACGCTCATATGCATGGTGAAAAAATTTCTCTGATACATGTTTTTAGCCCAGAAGCAACTGGCTCCAAATATCAGAGGAAAAAAATTATTTTACTTCATGAATAAGTCCAGTGCCAGAAAGCCTCAACTTTCAGGTGCCCAGAAAAGGCCTGGAGAAACTGCAGTATGAGAAATGGGAATCTGCATGCAGGGTCTGTCTTTTGATTCCACAATGCTACTGAAAATGAGGATTTTCTTTCCTATCAGAGCACTTTTGCAGATTGAAGGTCTTGGATAACTTTTGGAGGATGTTAGGGCCAATACCAAACAAAGCTTTCCTGGTCAGAGACTCAGGGTAACTTCTGAGCGTGTAATGGTGCTAAAAGTGAAATCCTGCAGGTCTGGAGCTGTCTGGTGGATCAGCACCAGGCCCTGCTCAGAGCAGCCACAGGATTTACACCTGTGAGCAAACACTGCAGTGGATGGAGTGAGAGTCTCTGTAATGCGGAAATTCTGATGGGAAATCTAACTAGATGAACTCCTGCCAGAGCTGAGCTTTAACTGTGTTCTGCAGGGCCTGTGAGGATGTCTGCTTCATTGGGAGGCCGTGGAGGATCGTGGATGGGAGGCTGAACAAGCCTGTGTGCAAGGGGATGATGGAGGCTGTGCTCTATCACATCATGACAAAGCCGGGCCTGACGGAGGCGACGCTGCTGCAGCATTACAGTGGGGTGCTGCAGCCCGTGGCTGTGCTGGAGATCCTGCAGGTACCTGAGCCACTCTGGGAGCTTCAATCCAGCTCAGCTTCCACACCAGGAGCCAGCAGATCCATTGCTGGCAGTCCCAGGAAAATGGGAGTGTGAATGAACCATGAAAAACCACCTTCTCCCTGTGGTGTAAATGCACCAAAGCCAGAGCGAGTCAGTGTTCACAGAGAGGAAGGAGGGAAGCCTGATTTACCCATCCTTGGAATTACCCTGTTACTGAGTTCAAAATTTGAGCTTGCTTCTGAAATGGGTGTACAGGGAGTTAAAATTTTAGGTGGTTACTGAAGAGTGAGGGCTTGTCACTGTGAAATACTAAGTGGCTGTTTAATGCAGTGTTAATCATAGGATCACAGAATGGTTTGGGTTGGAAGGGACCTTAAAGATCATCTGGTTCCAACCCCAATCGCTGTAGATAATCCCAGTGTTCCTAATTTTTTCCTTATGTACCTTCTAGATGGGCAGTCTGTGAAGTAGGAACCACACTGAGATGGGTCTGTGCTGTGTGTAAATGAGACCTTCTGTCCTGACACACCTGCCTGAAGGCCCACATCCTTAACTGTGAAACAGCACCTGGCAAGAAAATTTTGAGTTTATCTTACGTATTTTTTCCCATCATGAAGTTTGATTGCCACCACTGCTACTTTGGAAATGAAATCTTGATTTACATTTTTTTTTCCTATAAGAATTCAAAATCTTGAGCACAGCAGTGATACTGCAGCCCTTCCTGTAAGCATGACTTCCCCTGAGGGGCTCAAGGGAAGCCACTTTTGGTATAAATTGTCCAGCATTTCTTAGAACACTGTAGGTAGAGCAGCATTCAGAGCATTTTTTTTCTCCCACTGCAACTGCCCAAACTAAAGTGTGTGAATTTTTCCACAGGGTCTGGAAACTCTGGGTTGCATCAGACGATTCTACCTGAAAAAGCCATCCCCGGTGTCCCTCTTCTCTCAGCCCGTTGTGGTTGAACAACTCAACAATCCCAAACTGAGTGAAACCCCAACGATCTACTATGAGCCCACGATAGACTGTGCCCTCAGGCTGGGGAGAGTGTTCCCCTCTGAAGTGAACTGGAATAAGTGGGTGCAGATTATCCCTGTATAGGAGGTAAAGCTGAGTCACATCAAATTGGCTCAGCTTGTAGGAGGGAGCGTTAATGCAGATGAAATGCTGCAGTTTTTGCTCCATCGTGTTTTTATTAAGTTATTTATCCTTTTTACTTCTGAATGTATTTAAACTGAGAATAAAGTTTGATGTTAAGACAGAAGTAATACGTGATCCTGCTTGAAGTATATTGTCTTTTCACCAATAACTGCTTGCAGGGTGTATAGTTTGTGGTTCCTGATTTAACTTAGGGTGTTTCCACAGGTCATAGCAAAGGTCCCATTTTGGTTTCTTCCTCTCTGTAACACAGAGAGCACAGTTTTGCATAGAGAAACTGTCAGGTTATAGATGAACACCTAGTAATTCTGGATATTACATCTTGGAACGCTTTTAAAACCCTTCCAGTAAGGATTCCATTCTGTTCAAAGCAGTTGAAAGACTGGGGGTCTCTGAGAACAAATGTTCATTGCACTACATAACATGCAAACAGCTCGTTTTGCTGCTAGACTGCCCAGCTCTGAATACTAAAGCTGTGTTTACACATTCATAATTCTGCCTTTATAGGCGCTGAATTTTATTTCAACAGACAGTATTAAGTTTTACATTTCCTTTGTTATGTCAAAGTCCCTCTGCCGTTTTTCTTAGATGATCAGTAAAAAAAACCTGTAACACAAGAGAGGAAACGCTTCACCTTTGCTTTGCCCTCTGTGCCGTGGCACAGCAGCTGGCTCAGCGCTGGGGTTTCATCACCACCCTTCGGCTTATTTACCTTCGGGCCCGTCTGCATTTCCAGCACCGGTTCCTTGGTGTGCAGGGCACGAGTCTCACGCTGTGTGAGCCGAGGGCCTGCCCGGGGCCTCCGCAAAGGCAGAACACCCCGTTGGAGCCCGTGGTTCCCAGCTGCCCTCGGAGCAGTGTTAAAGCAACCACGCAGCACACGGTCCCTCGCACCCAGCGCCAGGTTTATTGCAGCGGCGGGACCCCCGCGCCCCATCCCCGCGGCCCCCTCAGTCCCGCCAGCGGTGCCCGCACTGCGGGTTGCAGCACTTGTAGAACGTGGTCATGGGCTCGTCGGCCGAGCGCGTCTGGATCTGCATGAAGTAGGCGCGGGGGTGCTCGCACTTGGGGCACGGCTCTGCGGGACAGAGACAGCGGCCGTGAGGGCAGGGCAGGGCAGGGCAGGCCGGACCCGACCCCCGCCCGGGCCCTCCTCGGCCCCCCGGCCCGGCCCTGACCTGCCGTGGAGTCCACGTTCTCCCAGGCCGCGGCGCCGCCCAGCACATCGTCCACCTCCTTCAGCCGCGGGTACTTCCTGCTGGTCACCTGCGGGCACCGGGAGCTGCTCAGCGGGGACCGGGAACCCCCTGCCCCGGGTCACCCCCGCCCCAGGTCACCCCCTGCCCCGGGTCACCCCCCTGCGCCCCCCGGTACCTTCCTGGTGACATTGCGCACGTAGGGGCAGGTGGTGCAGGCGAAGCGGTGGCAGCGCGGCCCCTCCTCGGCCACCAGCACGTTCCCGCAGGCCGGGCAGAAGAGCAGCATCGCGGGTTCCGCCGCGCCCCCCGCCCCTTCCGGCGATGGCGGCGGCCGAGGAGCCGGCGGAGGGGCCGGCGGAGGAACTGACCCAGGAGCTGGCCCAGGAACTGCCCCACGCCGAGGTGCTGGAGCTGTTCCAGGAGGCGCTGGCGCGGCTGGTGCAGGACCCGCTGCTCTGCGACCTCCCGCCGCAGGTGGGGCCGGGCCGGGCCGGGGGCTGCGGGAGGGGCGGGCGGGGCGCGGGCTCACGAACCCCCCGGGCCCCCGCAGGTGACGGCGGAGGAGATCGGCTCGCAGGTGGCCCTGGAGTACGGGCAGGCCATGACCGTGCGGGTCTGCAAGGCGGACGGCGAGACCGTGCGTGCGTGTGCGGGGCTGCGGGGCGGGCGGGGCTGCGGGGCGGGCACGGCGCTGGCTCCGAGCGGGCTCTGAGCGGCCGTGCCCCCGCAGCCGTGGTGGTGGTGCAGAACGCCTCGGTGCTGGAGCTGAAGAAGGCGCTGCGGAGGCACTTCCAGCTGCGGCAGGCGCGGCAGGGCGGTGTCCAGCACCTCAGCTGGTGAGCGGGGCCGGGAGCGGGGTGTGGAGCGCGTCCCAACCCTGTCCCGCTCTCCTGTGGCTCCCCCTGAGTGTTTTTCCCCCAGGAAGTACATATGGAGGACGTACCACTTGACCTACGCTGGAGAGAAGCTGGCGGATGACAGAAAGAAGCTGCGAGAGTGAGTTCTGGGTGTGTTCTGGGGGGCTGAGAGGCCCGGTGGGTGCCCTGCAGCATCCCCACAGGCAGGGCTGAGGTTGTGCCCTGGCTCAGGTGGGTCCTGCGCTGGGAACTGGCTGGGAGGTGGGACAGGCAGACTGAGAGGCTCTCTGCAGGACAGGATGGCCTTGGGGGTGTTCCTCAGCCATCACCATCCTGTGCTGTGCTTATCCAGTTCAGACCACCCCAAGGCACTGGGACTTACAGCCCTTGCTCATCCCTCCCAAACTCCTGCAGAATAGGTTACACTCAGCCTTGCAGAGCTGCTGATTTGGAACAAAGGAGGAGGGAATAAGAACTGGCACAGGTTGCCCAGGGAGGTTGTGGATGCCCCAACCCTGGCAGTGTTCAAAGCCAGGTTGGACGAGGCCTTGAGGCAGCTGGTGTAGTGGGAGGTGTCCCTGCACGTGGCCCAGAGGGGTTGGGACTAGATGATCTTTGAAGTCCATTCCAATCCCTTAACGTCCACGGAGAATGCCAAGGAAAGAGCAAACTAAGGATATGTGTGTTGATCTTTGGACCTGCTCAGCCACCTCTCAGAGACAATCTGCTAACAACACTCACAGGTGACTCCCACATTTCCATGCCCATTCTTGGGAATGAGGAGGGATGAAGCACTTTCAAGCATTCTGCTGTTCCATACAGCAGTGCTGGGTGTGCCAGCCTGTGTGAGATCAGTGAGAAAAGGTGAGCTGAAGTATTACAAATTTAGCAAGACAGCAAGACAGCAAAGCTGACCTGGGAAGACTGAGCAATGGGTGACAGATGTTGCGTTTAAGGGGTGGTTGGAGGTAAAGGCAGATGATCAGATCCTTCAGGGCTGGCAGCATGTGAGAATTTTAATGTGTCCTGTGATCATAGGAGTCCATCTGCCCCGGGAAAGAGGAGACTATAGGATTTCAAAGGTTGTTTTTCCTGGGAAACTGGCATATAACAGCATAACTCTCTGTTTAGGTATGGCATCAGAAACAGGGATGAGGTCAGCTTCATCAAGAAGCTTCGGAAGTGACCTGTTGGGTAAGTCCTCAGTGTGCATTAAGAGCTCCCAGTTCTTCATCTTCTTCCCTGGGCCGTGGTGTTCAGGCTCAGAGCAGCTGCTGTTGCAGAGTGTTCCTGCATGAGGCTGGGGCCTGTTTCCATATCCTGGTGGTGGTGTTTGTGCTCCTCTCGGGGTAGGGAGTGATAATTCAGCTGCTTCAGGTAGCACACCCTGGGAGCAGCAGTGGGGATGTCTCAGTGCTGGCAGTGGCGTGTCTCTAACTCTACTTTCTGTTTAGACTCTGAATCTGCTCTCACAGTGTTTTGAGATTCATTAAACATGGTGTTACTTTGCTGGGATTGCTTCTAGGACATTGCTTTCTTTTAGGCTTCTTAAATGTCTGGGAATCACTGTCAGGAGCGTGGCTGGATGCTGATGAATCCCTGGGAGGAGGAAGGTGTCTGTATGACAGATGATGGTCATCACCAGGGCACTCAGGTCCTTCTGTGAGCCTCAGACTGTAATCCCTGAGTGCTGCCTGCTCTCCCAGCCTGCTCCTCCCACTCCTGTGCCACCCTGAGCACCTGCAGCAACAGAAATGTCCCTCTGGTGCACCCAGGCAAATGCAACCACAGTGGATGTGTACTGAGCCCTTCTTCTCAATTACTGCAAGCTATGAGGAATTAGGAGAGGGACCTCAGCTTACATAGCCTGTAGTTTTTGACTCCCAGTTTGTCCATTTCCTGGTTTATAGAAACTTGAGTTCAGCTGATTCATTGTTCTCAAGGAGACAGGACAGATCACTGGGCAACTTTTGGTCACAATATTTCTGTGCAGTTTATGCCTCTGAGAACACTTCCAGCACAGGAAGCACTATTAGCCACATGTACGTACCTGTTTGTAACTCATGCAGACGTAATTCTGGTATTATACTGCTATTTTTAGAAAGTTGTGCGTGCAAACACAAGATGTGGCCAAGACCCTCGAACTTAGTGAGTTTAAAATTATGTCTGTAAAAACACAGTCATGGGGCTGGAGGAACAATGGGAAGAGCAGCCTGTGCAAACCTTTGGGGTTTTGTTTTGCTGCTCCAGGTAGCTCAGTTAGAAACTGTTGCTTTGTGACCACAGTAACCTTTTCTTCTTCTTCTTTCAACATTTGCAGCATCCACGTATGTGCCCTCTGAGCAGCCACCTGCTCCAGGGTGCCTGTGACCACCCGTGGCACTGGCTGATCCCTCCTGGACAGTCAGGGCAGCGTGGTGGTAAGAGCCCAGCATGCAGTAACCATTGTCACTGCCAAATATTTTCTTTCCTTAACAGAGGGAGAGCAGACAAACCAGCCCTACCAAGACCAGACTGTGAATTCAGCACTTTCCTGGAGGAAAAGGTTTAACGCTCCGAAGAGGAGCAAACTCCATTGACTGGACATTCTCACATGTTTTTTGTGGTTGCTGTTTGTATGTGGAATGCAATTCCAGGGATTAAAGAGACCCTCTAGTTTTCTGAGGCTTTTCAGGCCCTTATTTCCAGCTGCAGATCTACAGCTGGCTGGTTTTGGTGCTCAAAGGGGATTGATTCTCCTGGGACGTGGAACAGTGTGAGATTAAGTAACAAACACAGGCACAGACTATGCAGAACAATTAACAGTAGCTAAAACGCTACCTCACTGTTTAATCACCACCTTAGCAGTAGTAAACAACTCTGGTTAAAAATGTAGTATTGAAACTAGTGTAATAAAAATAATGGCAGCAGAAAAGGTTCAATACAATTGAACAAGGCACAAACGTTCTGTTTTCAGAGTCTTCTGAGATAAGGCAAAACATGCCTGCCAAGTGCTAAGGAGACAGTTTAAATTAACCACGGGCAGGGTTAGAAGTGTCACTGGATTAGAGGCTTTGTCCCCATGGAACTGGCACAGCAAATGCAAAGACAGTCCCTCTCCAGGGCCTGCTCGAGAGGCCAGTCTTTGCCTTTCAGTGGAGCTGCGCGTCCAGGTCGTATTTCTCGCAGAACTTGTCTGTGAAGGGTATACAAGTGAGGAACTCGCACCACTCACACTTGATGGGGTAGAAATAGAACAGAATCACGAGTCCTGAGAAGAGTGCAATGAAGATGAGCTGGAAAACTATAATTTGGCACCGTTTCCTATATAAATCAAACTTCCCGAAGCTAATGTAGGGCAGGAAGGCAAAGGAGAGGAAGAATCCGCTGATAAATCCTGAAATGTGAGCGAAATTATCAATCCAAGGCAGGAGGCCAAAGGCAAAAAGAAAGAGCACCACAGCCAGCAGCTTGAAGAAAGCCCTCCATGGGCGTGCCAGGATTTGCCAACTCTGGAAGAGCTCCACAAAGAGACAGGCCAGAATCCCAAACTGGGATCCTGCAGGGCCAACCTGCAGAAGAAGAGCATTACAGATAAGGTCAGGCTCTTGCCATCTCCCTGGCCTCTGCAGCCAGCCCCAGGCATCAGTTACTTGTTACTCAACTCCTTGTTCAGTGTTTCTTGGGGAAGAGACACCACAGCCTTCAACTTCACCCCTGTAATGGGGTGCAAGGAGTAAAGGGGCCTGGTTGGATTTAGGACCAAGGTGTGAGGGCAGCAATCCCCAGAACAGACTTTGTATTTAAGGAGGGCAGATCTGGTTTAAGTTGCCAGAGAAGAGAAGCCCTTGAAGGCAATCCCCTGGCTCCCCCACCCACCATGCACTTTTCCTTATGGAAGGACCTGAAAGATGGTCCTGCCATGCAGTCTCCTGTGGGCAAGCTGAGCTCTGCCCTTTGCCCCTCTCGTGCCACTCTCCCGTGGAGGGTCTCTGGCACCAGCTACAGCGCTCGATTCCCAGCCTGCCCAAGGCCTCTCCTACCCCATGGTTGGCAACTCCCCATTTGTTATGGGGCAGCTTTCTTCCTGCAGCCAGCCCAGGCCAGTGACTGGGCAAGCCCAGGGTGCTCTGGGGGATGTTGCTGCTCATGGTCTGGTGCCATGTGCCAAGGCTGCGCTGCAGGGACAAGCCAGCTCTGGCGTCTCTGCCTCTGCCCCAGAGGCACAGCCACGGAGAGGAGGGTTGTGTTCAGGGCAAGTTACCAGGGCCCTGGTCTGCAGGAGACCCACCTCTGCTCTGTAGGGTAGAAATATTGCACTGGCAAGGTTCCCAGTGATGCCACTGAGAAGGTAGATGATAGAGATGCGGTGCCATCCTGCCAGCTTCTCCAGGTCCCGCAGGATCGTCATTTGGAAACAGACTGAAACCAGGCAGTGCAGGATCCTGCCAAGTGCAGAGTACAGGAGCTGAAGCAGCAGCCACTGAAGTCACCCCTGTGCTCGTGTTCTGTCCCCAGCCTTGCTGAGAGCTCCTGCTCTGGCCTTGCCCACACCCCTAATCCCTCC